GCTTGGGGGTAGACAAAACCGTCCACGTCCCCCTGCCGAAGGCGGGCCCGCTTCTCGTCTGTCTTGTCCACCTCGGCAGCATTTGAAGGACGTTTCGTTTTCTGGCAGATTACTAATCCGAGGATTATATTTGGACGTGCTGACTCGAGGCCTGAAAAACAAAATGATTGTATGTGTTACGGGGTCAGCATCCAGCTTCTCCTTCAGGGGTCTAAGCTACGAAGGGCTCGCACGGGGAATGAAGTCCCATAGGTGGAAGGGAGAAGTGGAATCGAGCTGGAGCAGCACGCTGCAGGGCCTGCTGGGCTGTCACCTCGGGGCCCCAGCAGCATCCCGAGGGAGCCATCACACCTAGTCACAGACTTCAGAGCACGGGCCTACTTCACAGTAATTCCTTCCTGATAGCCACGATTTTGCCATGTTTTTCAAAAACGCATAAGCCATTCAGAAAACTCGTGAGTCGCTGGTGTCAGAATCAGTTCACGGAGAACATCACGCCAACACAGCTAAGGTGGCTTGAGGGGTAGAAAGTCGGTGAGCACGCCACACTGAAAACCACCTGGTGCACGGCGCCCCGTCGACACAGGACCCTGGGCCGCAGTAAGCACCGAGGTGTCCGCACGTGCTGGCAAAGGGCCGAGCAGGTGGGAGGGACCCCAGGAGCCAAAGGACACAGCAATTTTTGGAAATAATCACTTCTCAAAACAGGATTATTCTAAGTTGTGGTAACCGAGACGAGGAATGCCAGTATCCCAGAAATGGTGTGCTCCACCTGAACTGATACCGAAGGGAATAAGGAACAGCCAAGTCCCAGAGCAGTGAAGGGAAAGGGCTATGTGGCTGTACCCGGCTGCTGTGGCACGGCGACCACGCCAGCCGGGTACAGCCACATAGAGGACGCCGCGGCCCTAACGTGGACGGAGGTGCTCGCGCTCCGCCTTCCCTCATAGTTAAGCCCAGTACGAAGATGTTCCTATGACCTTAAGAATATGCTCACGAATCACTGGCTGTTCCTGGACGCCACCACACGGCTCCACGTGCATCTGCTGTTAGGGACCTCCCATGGCCGAGCTGGGCACAAGGGTGGGCCAACGTCCTGCCCCACGCCTTAGAAGAGGAAAGTCCAAGCACGGCGGGGGGCTGGGATGACAAAGCGTCCACAGGAACGCCACGACATCAGCACCCTCCCTCCAGGAGTCCCCAGGGCCTCCTGCCTCTCAGGTCGGTGTGGGAGCTGACTCCATGGACGGTGCAGCCTGGCGCTGTGACAGTAGCATGTCTCAGCCTCACCACCTTCCACCAGCCGGCTTCCCAACACCCTCCCTGCCCGACAGCGGCAGCACATTGGCGGGGGAAGGGCCAGGCAGTCTGGCAGATCACACTGAACACATCTAGATGGTTCTGCCAGGCAAGTGGGCTGGGCAGCCGACCAAGTCCACTTCCTGATGAACGTGATCAGGGACGTCCTCTCTTGAAAACGGCACTTTTGCCCCTCTAATAGATGTGTCGTCTCAATACTTTCCGGCTTAGTGGAATCCAGGGTTGGGGTGGCAACTGCTACATCGGCTAACAGGGCCCTCCTGGACCAAGCGTGCCTGTGGACAGCGGCCCAGGGCTTGCAGATCAGGTTTTCAGGGAGCCACAAGCTGAGGTCCTGCAGGGCAGCACAGGAGCAGAGGGCAGGCGGCCAGCCAGGAGGCACTGGCAGCAAGGGCTGGGGGGCCGGGTGTGGGGAGCCAGCTGGGGCAGCTTAGAGCCCTCGACTGGTCCTCACAGAGAAAAGCTCGGAAGACAGAAGGGCCAGAATTAAGGCCACAGCTGGAAAACACAGCTCCCTGCGGTGAGGGGGACCTGCCTAGTATGCATACCAATGAGCAGGTGTCCCAGCCCTGGCCAGACCACACCCACCACAGGCCGTGTGGCCAGCCCCGCTGCTCTCACCAGCTATGTAGGGTGGCACCTACTATGCAGCTGGCATTTTAAATGCTTTCGCCCGACTAGCTCACCTGTGCACAGGTAAGCGATCTTATCAACAGCATCAGACCCGTGCTTCTCACCTGCCACCCGTCTTCCCAAGACTTTAAATGAGAACGGGCTACACCCAACGCGCCCCGCGTCCAGCTGTCACCTCACCACCTGGTTTGTGCGATGGCTGGGACTACGTGACATGCTAACGAGCACCTCGGAGAGGGCGCGGAGCAGTGCCACTTCCTTTCCTACCCAGCCTGGTTACGCTCCGCACTGCCAGGATGGTGCCTGGCATGGTGATCCCAGGTGAGGTCAGCGGCCACCCGTGTCCTAACGTGCTCATGTCCAGGGAGGGGCCGGAGAGCTATCTGCCACGGGCCCGCCTTCCAGGACTGCCGCGTTTCGGCAGCACCATGGTACACGTGTGAACCCTGGAGCCAGCGTGTCCTGAGAAGCCGCAGGAGCATGGAGACCAAGGGCCGTGTGGAGGCCAGTAGTGGTGGGGCAGCGCTGGCCCTAGGGCACTCACTCACCCACTCCCTCCTGGGTGGCTGTGAAGTTTACGGTTCACATATGAGCAGGGATGGGAAGGCCAGCTGAAACATGCCACCCTACCCCCACAGGATGGCGCTATGGACCAAACGCGCCCCCTCTCCCGCCCCCAAATACCACAGGTATTTCCAGAATGAACTGGGAGAATAAAAGTGAATTCCTAGCTCAGTGTCGGCCCATGTCCCATGGAACAGGGTTAGCTTAAAACTGGTGGCGAGAACTACAACTACAGCAGGTGTGCAGGTTAGGGGCATCTCGGGGTGTGTGCCAATTAACCACCAGGGCAGGGCCTGGCTACTTCTGCAACAGGGACCAGGAGAGAGGAGCCTGGAGGACAGCAGCTGCCAGGGCAGCCCCCCCCCCACCCGACTGACCCCAAAGGCTACAAGACGCCACTCCACTTTATTAAGTAAACCTCCCGCAAGCCAACTCCTAACCTCACAGGTCTGCCTGGCATGTTTTGCTGGTCATACTTAAAACGAAATTCTCGAACAGTCTGGATCAGAAGGGCTGGTTCCTGCTGGCATAGAACTGCGTGCAGGTTAGCAGGCAAAGCTCATACGTGTACTTGGGAAGCACGGGGTGCTACTCCTCCCCAGCCCAGCACAGGCACGCACACACGCACACAGACCCTGCCCCTCCCACTTCCCGGATGAGGGTGTATGAAGCCATGGGGCCGTGCGTCTCAGCCGAGAGGTAGGTGCCATCCATCTTCTTGCAGGCGCCCCGTGCCAGGGAACGCCTGGAGCTGGGCGCTCCGCATGGTGTGGAGGGGCTCACGGAAGCCAATGCCGAGGTGGCCCGGGGTAGGGAACTGAGGTCTGCCAGATGGCTCCGATTCAAACAAACAGTGACCGGTTTCCATGAAATGCGTTTATTGATGTAGGAGGAGAGCAGTACATTCCATTCAGCGCTGTCTGTCTTTGAGTACAATTTCTGTGTGAACTATTGGTACACACATAGAAACTAAAGAAATGCTTACCTGACAACGTTTCAAGTCAGCTTTCTGGCTAACGTAAAAATCAATTAAAAAGTGAATACAAAAACACGACACAACGGATTCACACATTCTTCCAGAGAAGTGCTTTTCAGTGTGAGAACTCGAGAGAAATGACCCTTCCCACTAGAGCACCGAGGGTGGTGGCTCCCTGCCCCTCGTGCGGGGAGGGTGGAGACACTGCACACCGTGCGTCGTGACCCGAGGCCACTCCACAGGCCTCAAGGGCAGGCCGTCTTACGGTTTAGTGGGCGTCTTGCTGTCAGGCCCAGTCCTGTCAAGGTCACACACAGACCCAGATCAGGTGAGTTTCCCATCTGCTCCCCTTCCCGGCACAGGCCACAGGCATGCAGATGAGACCCCGCCTGAGACTGGGGCTGTCAGCTAAGTGGCAAGGGAGGCCGACCGGACCGGAGGACTCGAGCTTCCCGGCAGTCCTTGAACTAAGGCCGCGTTACGAGCAAAGCCACCGTCCCGCAGCACGGCAGCCCACTTGCTGGGGGCCGGTCATAAAGCCACATGGGGCGGAGATGCCCTAGGAGCACGGCTTGCTCTGGACGTGTACTGATGTGCCGGCCTGCCGACGCGCACTCGGTGGGAACAGTCCGCGTGCTCGCTGTGCAGGCTGCAGCTGAGACGGGCAGCCGGCTCGGCACCAGGCTGGCAAAATCTACTTGGGCCCCAAGTCCAGAAGGTGTGGGACACCCGCAGTTCTAGGTGGCAGGAACGGAGGGGTGTGTGTGTGTGTCAGTCCAGCTCCAGCTCCACCCTGATCTGGCCCTTGGCATGCCCACAGCTGTTCCCATGGCAGTCCGAGTGCAGCCTAGGTGCCCCCCACTGCACAGAGCACTGAGCGAGGGGCCCTGCCTGGGCAAGGTCGGGGGAGCGGGGAAGGTCTGTGTGGCCCCCAGCCCGCCACCTTCTGGGTGTGTACCCGCGGGCAGTGTAATGGCCTGTCCCTGTGCCAGCTGCTGGGGCCTCAGGGCGCTCCCGTCACGTGTGGCCGCCGTGCCACTGGCTGTTCTCCTGGCTCTGCTGGG